GAGGAGATGAAAGCATGTGGGCAGACTTGGAGTGGGGTGAAAAAGTTGGAGAAAACAGAAGGCAATGGAGGTACGCAGCTGAAGCCCTATGTTCCTCTAGGAATTAAAGGATAAAATAATATAATAATAACTGCAACGCTCACTGATTTAATGTTAGATTTCTAATAAGAATTCATTTTCTTCGATTGTGTATATGCAGCCCACTCATGAAACGTCATCTATGTATAAATAATACTGCATTATTGTGTGATACATTAAATAAAATTATTCTCTTCAAGATCTATTCTTATATCACAAACTATTTGCCTAAGTCTTCTCTCTCTCTAAATGCTTCCAAATCCTTAGAGTCAACAGCATCATTTGCTATTGTTTGGATTGTTGTGTGGATGTGTGTGGTCAAGTTTATTAGTTTTATTTTCCGTTAATGTTTTGCTCATTCATAGTGTTACTTTTTAGTTATGCAACGCTCACTTCTTTAACTTTATTACAGCTGAAGTTTATCTCCATAACTGTCGAATTATTTATATTCACCATTTTGTCAACACTCTTCTTCTGTTAGCTCTTCATGAGTGCATTAATTCTGTCTAGCTTTGCCCTACAATATCCACTGCGGTTTAAAAATAATTAGATGAGTGTGATTGAGATTATACTTTTAGGGATTCAACTAAAAAATGTTCAGTTTCAAAGTACCAATACAAGAGAATTTGTAAAACTCAAAATTTGGAAATGTAAAATGGAATGTAACTGTCACTTTACGTGAACAGGCTGATAGTGTAAAACAAATTACTCTTACTGCTGTTTTGTTTCTTATCTCAAAGTGACATGTCAGTTAGTAGAAAGTTCAACCTATGTTGAAGCATATAGAATTAAAATGAGTATCATACAGTGAGCAAATACTTATCTATTCTAGCTGCATACTATATTATTCTTATTCCCTTAGGTTCTGAATAGAACATAGAATTTCCCCAACACATCACTTTGTTCTATTTTCTGCTGTCCTCTTTTCAGCTGGCTCCACGAGTGACCATTATCTCTCATATCCTTCAACTCACACCATTTCCTCCATATCAGCCTTTCTCTAAAGACCCACTTGTCGCTTCTCATTCAGATTCAACTCCAGCGACGGCCTGCCTTAAGCATGATGTCATTTGATGGCCCCCCCCATTCCCAATTTCTCCTACATATTTGTTCAGCAGTCAGCTGCTCTTGGGTGGTTTTTTCTCAGCCAGAATTTATCGTTGCTAATTCTTTCTCACCAGCCATTCGATCTTCAGTATGGAGCTCGCCAGTGACGGCAGCTGTTAATAAAAGTCTGCAGCCTGTTGGAAATCCTTTTCGTGACCCAAGGTGCAAGTTTCTGACCAGTATATTAGGAACTGACTGACTTTACATTTGTGTTGAAAATTCAAATCTTGTTCTTAATGCTGTGGAGTGCAGAAGATTTCCAAATTAATTTCAGGTTGATGAACTTGTATCTGGTTGGCTTCTGCATCTTCATCCTTTCCTTCTGTTGTTGAAACCGTTGCTTCCTTGTGAGATAAGTGGAGGAAGTGACCTGTTTCAAATCTCTCCCGTTAATGATGATTGTTGCTGGTTGTCGTTGCTGTCGGCGGTGGTTGGTAATCTTCATCACCTCCATCTTGTCTATGTTCATCTGAAGTCCTGTTTTTGACGCCTGCTTCTCTATGGAGTTTTATTGATTTTCGCCTGCAAATCTTCGAGTTTTTATGACATTAGACATATTTAATCTGTCAAATCCAGATCTTCTAGAGTCTAGTTTATTAGCTTGCTAGTTTTATAGCCAGTCCCAAGCCCAGGTGAAGAGGGAGGATTGAAGGTGTAGCTACCAAACCTACACCGCAATACCAATTAAACTGCTATAGAAACTTCAGTGCACAAGTTGCATCATCTACCATAACTAAATCGGTTAAATGTAGTTTGTGAAAAGATAAATTCCATATGATATTTAACAAACGCACTGAAAACAAAATTTATTGACTGCTTTGATACCTTCCCAAGTGTTTCTCACATTTTTAATTAGAAATAAAGTGCAAACACTACTATAAAACGAGCAAAATTTCACTAATTGTGATTGACTTTAAACTGATAAAATTAGCTGGTATAGTAAGCGCTTGTTGAGAAAGCAATAAAAATCTAAGACGTTTGACAATTTGAAGAACTTGTGGCCTCAGAATTACTAACACAGAGCTAACCAGCCGAAATAAACTCTGATAACCTGTGATAAAATCCGGGATATATAAGCTTCAACAGGTGACACTTCTTAAAATTAATCATAAAAGAATGTATAATCCACTGACCAGAATGTTCAGTCTCACCTGTCACCTGAGATACCATTAAACGCTAATTTATATTTATTCCATAACTAACACCACTAGACAAGTAAAAACGAAATCGCGTTCTTAGTGCTAAAAAACTTTTTTTGACGAATATATATTTCAGACACAATAGTTAGACAGAATTTTAATCTACGGTCCACAGTCTCTAGAATATCATGTTAAAAATTAATAAATTTATCCCTAATTTAAAAACCGGTCACTGATGAGAGAAAGAGACGCTGACAGCTATCTGGATGAAGGCATTCGTATGTGTAGTGATTAGGTGAGTGGTCTAGATCAACAGGCTTCAAAACTGGAGTTAACAAGCTATCCAGAATAAATCATTAACAGATACCAATTACCACCACCTGCAACCCGTCCAGAAATGCCAACAACAGCACATAAACAACTGCTAGTTGATACCAGTCCAACAACGAAAGCTGAAGTCTTGAATGCAATCAAGCTTCTGAAAGCTGGAAAAGCAACTGTACCAGATGGAATACCCCTGAATCACTGAAAGCGGACCCAGAGACGACAGCAGATATGCTAACTCCATTATTGCAAAAGGTCTGGAAGGAGGAAAAGGTGCCTACTGACTGGAGGGAAGGTTACCTCGTGAAACTACCAAAGAAGGGAGACACAGGACTCTGCAAGAACTGGCGAGGAATCATGCTCCTATCGACGCCAAGTAAAATCCTGTGTCGGATCATCCTCGAGAGAGAATAAAGGACGCACTGGATACAGAACTCCGACCAGAACAAGCTGGACTCAGGAAAGGCAAATCATGTTGTGACCAAATTGCAGCTCTACGCAACATCATCAAACAAAGCATGGAATGGCAATCAAACCTCTACCTCAACTTTATAGACTTTGAGAAGGCCTTCGACAGACAGCGTTGACCGTGAAGTAATTTGGAGATTACTCGAGTACTACGGCGTACCCTAAATATTCATCAACCTTATTCAACAGCAGTACGACAACGGAACATGTCAAGTGATCCACAACGGAAAACTCAGCAAGCCGTTTTGAGTAAACACAGGGTCAGACAAGGCTGTTGGCTTATTATCACCAATGATATTCCTAAATGTGGTGGACTGACTGGATTATGCTTCAGACACTGGGAAACGAGAAGACAGGAATATCCTGGACCGACGTGAAGAACCTAGAAGACCTGGATTTCGCGCGGCGATGATTGATGTTTGATGTCACTGTCACAAAATCGAAGACTTACAAGAGAAAACCTACAAATTGGTAGAAGAAGCAGCGGGTGAAGACAGGTCTCCAGGGGAACATAGACAAGACGGAGGTTATGAAAATAACCAACCAACAACAACAACAGCAGCAGCAGAAACATCCAGCGTCAATCACCATCGATGGGAGGGATTTGAAAGAGTTTACTTCTTTCACTTATCTAGGGAGCATTGTCTCAACTACAGGCAGTTGGAACGGACGAGGTTGTCAAATCGAGCGAGAATCAAGAAGGAAGGCGAGAAACACATTCATCAACCTGAAACCAAACTGGAGATCTTCGTCACTCAGCTAATTTCCGATACAAACGTCAAGCCAGTCAGTTCTTCTAATCGGATCAGAAACTTGGCGGGCGGGTCACAAAGAATATTTCCAACAGCCTGTTGCAGACGTTACCTTTATCAACCAACAACTGTCTTCGCTGGCTCTATACTGAAGATCAGATGCCCGGGCCGGGCTGGAAAGAATCACCAACAAGAAACTATGGCCGGGAACAAACAAAACAAGAACCAATCGCCAACCAACAAATATGCAGGAGAAAGTGGAGATGGATTTGACACTCGTTGAGGAGGCTGGTTGGTGACATCGCGCGTCAGGCCACTGCTCGAGTGGAACCCGGAAGGAAAGCAGCAAGTGGGACGTCAGTTCAAGGGTGACATGGAGGAGATCGTGTGAAGAGGAGTTGAAACAGTATGGACTAACATGCATGGATGCAGTTGAAAAGTACAGCAGAAGGAAGACAGAAGCAAATGGAGGCGTGCAGCTGAAGTCCTGTGTTTCACTAGGAACCCAAGGGAACAATAATAATAATAATATAAAAACCGGTCACTGATGAAAGAAAGAGACGCTAACATTTATCTAGTTGAAGACATTCGTATATAGGGATTAGGTGAGTGGTCTAGATCAACAAGCTTCAAGACTGGATTAAACAATCTATCCAGAATAAATCATTTACAGATGCTAAATAGGTGTCAGATGTTTTATTTACGGTGATCTACATGAAACTGTAGGAAACTGAACCCTTCTTACTAAAATCAGCCAAGACGGAGTAATATAAAATCTTGCATGTGAGAAAACCTCTTCAAATCGCTACACTTTCTAACAGTACGAAAGTGTAAGTGAAGGATAAAAACGAAAACGTACAAGATGATCAGATATTGAGCCGTGTTATCAAAACCTTCTAACCATAATCATAAGACTTCAGAGTTCACGAATATATATCCTAGTCACATTCATATTAATAACTTGTCTATTCCTGTAAATAAACCGCCTTATGTGATGGTATGTTAATCTTCGACAACCACTGAATTTAAAAATGTAATTTCTTTCAATTCATTTAAATGTGTTTTCATTAAAATAAAAGAATTACATATCTAAAGAAAATTTAATTTATATATATTTTTTTTACAAAAGAAGCTATCTTTCATTTCCTTCATCCTCATTTTTATTTGAGGAATACAAATTAGAAGCTTCTGACATCAAATCAGACATAAAACAATGAATATAATTCGGTGGGGAAGTTTTACTCCTTTTCAGGCAAACAGAAGAAGTTGTCCCTGACGTCTCTTCAGGATAGTAAGGTGAAAAGATTTTACGGCTTAGACTGTTCGTCTTTAATTTCCTCGGTAACTGACAGATATCTGAACAACTCTCCGCTGATGTTGTCATGTCAACTGGGCTATCTGCATGAGAATGACTACTATCATCAAGCCTTTGTTGTTTACTCAACATATTCGAGTGTTTAATAGCCTCGTTATACGATGGAGGTGGTTCATAGAAATGCGTTGGAGATACATTCTGATTATACAAAACTGAAAGAGTATTATTTCGCATTATATCAGCATTATTGACAATGATAGTTATAGGCCGATGATATTGTTGTTGATGTCCATCCCCAGTCTCTGTAATATTTCCTACATTATCTGATTCATTAGTAGTTAGTTGAGTTGTTTGTCTTCTATTACACATTCTATCGAATAAATTCAAAAATCGTTTACGTAATGCAAATGTCAGTGTCATTAAAATTAATGAAATTGATAATAATGAAAAGAATATTGTTTGCAGTGTAATATCTTTCATACGGAAGACAAAAACCTTACGACAATATACAGGATGTTCATCTAACGTTTTAAAATTATGCCCAGTATAACTAAACACTTGTGGACAATTTGAATATTGATCGCACATTAATGATGATTTAATACAAAAGTATGGTTTAAACAAATTACCAAGTAGAGATTTATTTTTAGCCTCCATACAATTAAATAATTCGCCAATTGTTGTTTTATCTTTTTCTATAGGTAATTGTTGTTGTTGTTGTTGTTCACCTTGGTAACGGCTGAAATCTTTATCCACTGGTAAAAGCATACCTTCATATTTTCTACATAAATATACTGGTGTCACTAACAGATGTAAATGGACATGGATTAAACCATCAACTTCTGTGGGTAAATCATGCTCGATAATAAAGTAAACTGGACTAACTAGTGATTTAAACTCGCTTATTTGTAAAAGCATATTTGTTTTATTATTCTCATTAAGTTGCATATAAATTTTAGCTAAATAAACAGTACTGTCAGTAATACCATCATCAATATTTTGAAGAATACTAAATTTCACTTGATGTTTACTTATTAATTCATATTTATCTGATGTAGACTTTATCACTTGCAAATAAGTGTCCATTATATGAATGTTTAAGTGATGAAAACTTTTTTCATGCGGTAGAATCACACCATAAATACAAGATAATGGATTAAATTTTGTTACCAGTTCAAGTCCATCTGGTTTTGTTTTATAATAATAAGCACGACGATATGCAAAGCTTTTAAGCAGCTTTTTAAAATCATGCTTATTATTATTATCATCATTATTTGTTAAACCAAAACAATTGTCAATTTCAATTTCATTTGTTTGACATGTAACCGAATTAACTGCATAAATTACTAATAATAAACTGAGTGTAATTAGATAACGATAGAAACACTGGCCATAGAAGTAATTATGATGATCGCCACTATTATAATCATCATAATAATAGTAGTAATTATATGTAAAATAAGATAAATAAGACAGAGATTTCATTTTCGTATGCAATAGACATTGCTTTGCACTTTGTGTCAATGAAATGGTAATCTTATGCATTCGATAAAATGATATCGATTTTTAGTCACATGCTCATATATATATATATATATATATTATTATCAGTAATACGGCCGAAAATCTGGAAATATTTAACTACCTAATGGGGAAATTTCTAAAACAGTCGCTTCAGAAAGATCTTAATGAACAAACTTAGCTGAAGCTTACAAAAATAATAAAGAAAATGAAAAAAATGAATCATTCATTCGTACACAACTATATGAACAACTTCGTCCATCTGTCTGCCTGTTTTCGACATAGAACTTTTCACCGATATGTGGCAGTTCAAGTCGCCACACTCCACACACACACACACAAAGCAAGACAAGAAAGTAGACGAAATGCATAATAGAGACAGTAAACAGAGGTGGGAGACAAAGGAATAGTAATAACGAAGAACAAAACAGTTTTATTGGAAATCATAAGTCACAAGAAGTTGATGCATCTGCGCTGTCATCGAGAACGATTTTGAGCCACATCACCAATTGTTTCCAACCATTGGTTTTTACCGTCCCGAGGACCCCAACCAGTCTGGAAGTCTACATCTTCCTACGTGGCTTAGACTAACTGTTGTGGATTTCATTTACTGGTGCCATGTTTTTGTTTGACCTCCGCTAGCTATTTTCCAGCCTGACCCTATATCCACTAACATTGCTCGTCGAGGAATGCGGCTAATCTAAAATACAAACAGAAGACGATCCCCTTCGCCCAAATATTAAATGCGATAAATTCCTCACATCACTTAATCGCACACTGACTGGTAGAGACTCTTGGAGTGATAAAGGAAAAGCTGGCGAGATGCAATCTCTGGGACACATTTGATTTTGTTTATTCAGTTAAAAGTGTCAATCTTCCAGAGAAAGGCTTGGTTTCCATAGATGGTATCCCTTTCTTCATCTCAATGTTCCACTGGCAGAAACTATACATTATGATTTCATTCAATCCAGTAACAAAATGGTGTCGGTATACCCCGATTTGTTATCTAAAAGGGTTGTCAGTGTGATACACTTTCAACGTTTTTTGCTTTGGCTTGCTTAGACTAGTGTATACACAATCAGATGCGTCTTCGTCTTGCATCCCAGCAATCAAAGTAAAGAATGTAGAGACTGCTGTATAACAAAATGCTCTTGGAATTTATTCATCACCAAAGTATAATCTGTTTTAACCATGTAAAATCATTCATTTAGTGAGTGAGATTCATTTGAAAACAAAATTTATGGTTACAGATATTTGTTAGCATGTTATGTGATTAATTTCATAAATGTGTTTATGTTAAATTTCCTTTGCTGTTTTTCATTCGAGAAGCAAACTTAGTTACAGGTATTATTTAAGCGAAAAAATAGTATAAAGACCAAAAGAATACAGTCTTAGGAATATGGTTACGTAATCCTCTTATGTGGTAATGTTCTTCCGGCTAGATGATCTAGTTAAGAAGCTTCCATCGTCTTTCGAGGTAACAACTTCAGAACTTAGCTGCTTAAAATGGATTTTTCTAGAAGCACCTATAGTCAAGATATTCATAAAAACAGAACGAAATAATATTCTTTGCATGATGACGAGTGAAATTGGAAAACAATAAGAAATAGTCTGAAGAAGGCAAACAAAATCACGTACTGGATAAATGCTAAGGTTGAACGAGTTCCTTCTGAATATATATCTCTGACTCCCCACAATTACTGTCATCTATATACCTCTTTAATTTGTAAGTGATTCTGAGTATTGAGTCATTTGAGATGTTGTGACAGACCGCAATGAGGTGCTAGAATATAAAACTTTTATTTGGACAGATTCCAATGTGGGCAGAACTGTCTACAAGCCAAAATTGTAGACAACAGTTTGTGCTAATGTTAACGTCCCGAATCGGGGTCATGAGAAAAAAAAATAACAAAGCTTAACTTTGAGGAACTCACCTACCAATCACAGGAGACTTAACATGTTCAGGTACGATTCGTAGATATATGGCCTAACTTTGTAAGAAACGGTCACAAGCAGTACAGAATAACCTTCAGCAAGAAAACAACCAATCAGAAGAAGAGTTTGCTTCTCCGCTGGCAATGATGTACATCAAAATCTACAAATACCTCTCGATTTTCTCAATAAACGATCTGCTGTCTGGTCCTTGTCTTCTGTCGTTACACCCGCCACTTCACACTCATGCCAGGTAGTTTTAAAGTGCAGGTGAAAAACGTCATCAAAAATGACTATAATTTATGTGTAATCAGGAGCACAGTTAATTAAGGCGTTAAATGAACAAACATAACTGTCACTAGTCATTTAATGAATTTTATTCTCCTAAAAAGGTTGAGAAGGTGTCGAAACAGATATAATGCGCATCATCATGTGAGTAAGCAAGCAAATTCTGATTTTGCTTATCTGCTCTTTCTGATTTCGTTCATCGAAAAAATGACAAGTGGTTTCCCCAAAACTCTCAATGATTCGATTAGGCATTAAATTCTTTATCATATTTCCCAATAAATTATTTTTCTTCAGCTGGATTTACCCATCAAGTTTAACATTATTCTAATGTGTCTTTAGAAACACTAAAACATAATTTTTCGTGTTTGTGCCATAGCACTGCGCATAAATCTTACCTAGAGATTGTTTTATCACTTGTATTATTATGCTTACTTATTTAGTTTCAACCAAGCGAATTAAATATACTTTCTCTCTTACGCTTCACTACTGTAAAACTAGCTTTAAGATGACATTAGCCAAACACAGGAGATTTCTCTTAGGAGAGACGAATGTATCGTCTGTATGCTTACAGAACTGAAGAAACGTTGTAACTCTGAAAGGCGTTTTGGTATCGTTGTATTCACTAAGCTGGGAGCGACTTGACTGCAGAAAGACTTTATCAGCTTAGACAAAAAGTTATAGAAGTCTAGTTTATGTTATTTGCTTTTGTTAATTTCACCTGAAATGTTTCTTTTTCCTTAGTGATAAAGCATGTTATTCCACAGTCTGTTATTACCCCTGATTAATAGGGACTTTAAAGCAGATTAATTCACAAATATCCGAACTCACTTATGAATTATGCATCGGTACTGAAGTTTGACATGACGGAGATAAGTAAAACTATAAAATGTGATTAACTCTATCAAGAAAGGTGTTATGACCGTTGATACACTTGGTAGTTTGCGCTAAAGAACTTCCTACCTAGTTGATTTGAGATCCAACTGTTCTAAGCACTGTTAGCAAGAACAACGAGACGTTATGATACTACCGAACCCGTGACGCAAGAAGACAAGACGGCAAACCGTTAACCTAAAAAGATTTTACTGTCTCGTATCAACATCCATAAGTGTTGACAGCGTATATACATATGTGCTTTAAATGGCCTTGAAGGACACTAATTACATTGATAAGTTAAAACAGCCAAGGGACAATAGGGTTCCAAGGTCATATGTGGGAAGAATGCAGACTGCACTGTACTGTACAGATAAGTGTAGTGTTTTAGAAAAGTAGGTCTGCATAACAAAAAGGGCATTATACAAATACCGACTCTGAAATAACTGAGAATATTTGCAGCTGAGGTGAATGACTCACAAAAGTTTCCAAGAGGCATGATTATATTATTTACAGAGAATTTAAATAAGTTTACTTTATGAAGTAGTTTGGTGGACGGTGACTAGCAGTGAAATCCAGAATGATTTCTTCTTGGTATCAGGGACTTGTCAGCGGGATATCCCTCTTAGCTCCTGTGGGAATATTATCATTCACTTAGGATCGCAGGTATATCCAGATGACAAGTCTCAAGCAGGACAAAATGGGCATCCTGCATTCCACTGCTAGTTACCACAGACCAAATAACATCACAGGTAATTCTTAAGCACCATGGAGGCGTCCTTAGTAGGAGACAGTATATCAATCAATAGGAAGATCCAAATTGACATAAACAAATAAATCTTTTCAATGAAGTTATATTACCTAAAAAGCCAATGAAAGCTTTCCAATTAAACCAACCAACTCAGAGATTACAACCATGCGAAAATACAGATTCTGTCGAAATAGCATTCCAGTTGTTTGATGTGTTGTTTAAGCTCTGTGATCACTGCAAACTAGACCGAGATCACTAGTTATTTGCAAGAGTCATATATCACTTTCTTGTTGCATACCATTTTCACTACAAATGAGTATTTATCAAAACTGAGGTCTATACAAAATAAATAGCAATAATGCACTTTCTTCATTATCTTTCTTTGGATTACTTTGTACTCAAACACATATGTTATTTACAAATAATGCGAAATAGGTGGATGATTATTCTTTAGTCTTAATGATACTTTTGTACATTTTTTTACATACTTTAGAAGTGAAGTGAAATTTCGTATCTATGTACAACGAAATTATGTACAACTTACCTCCAAATCATTACTTGCACAGATCTTCCGTGTTGTTCCTCATCTGCTCTTCGTACTGTGTCTCTTTATCTTCCGTTTTCATGTTTCCTATGTTTTACAACAACACTGAATCATTTGTTCTCTTTGATGTCAAATCTTTTTCCTTTCTATTTGATATTTTTTATCCCAATGAACGTCTGTTTATATACTACTAATAAATTTTATCAGTAGCACATGCCACACTTTTATGTATGCAGAAGCATTAAACAATACAGAAGTGTTTTATATTACTGGGATAGTTTTCAGTTTTATGACTTATTTATTATAGTTTCGAAAGTATTTACATAAAAATTGCGAAAATGTTTGCAATGTATACAGTGATTATTTTATTTTTCATATAAGATTGAAGCAAATAAAAAGAAATGCCATTGGTTCTAAATAGAGTATAATTATATTTCAATAGATAAAACATAGATAAAACAGAGGTGATGAAGATTCTTGGCCAACACCAACAGCAACAACAACAGACAACAGTCAGCATAAATGGGAGGAACCTGAACGAAACAACCTCCTTCACCTGCCTACCTCGGAAGCATCGTT